TCCTCCATGCTATTCCTTATGCTTTGCAAATAAGTGGGACCATATGATAATTGACTTTCTCCATTTGACTTATTTAACTTAGTGTAATCTCCTCCAGTCCTGTTCATGTTGATGTAGAAGTTGGGTGTTTGTCCTTTCTGACGGCTGAGGAGTATTCCAGGGCATATAGGGACCACAGCTTCTTATCCATTCATCTGTTGAAGGGCACCTTGGCTCTTTGCACAGTTTGGCGACTGTGGGTATTGCTGCTATGGACATTGGGATGCATACGATCCTTCTTTTCACTGCATCTGTATCACAAATGAAATTGTTAATAGAATTGAAAGTTAAAATATATACATTCTCATTTTAGAATATGGTAGTCAAAAATCAGATCCTGACTTCAGTTAAGGAAAGACTTTATTTGAAAGTATTATTACAAGAGCAGGGCGGGGGCCTTGTAATAAAGAGAAGATCTGTGCCTCATGAGATCAGTCAGAAGGCAAAGTCTTTGATTTTATGAGGAGAGGGCATGAGGCCATCAAGGTGGGGGAAGTGGGAGGAGTGGGTGGAGGCAGCATGTCCCTACTGAAGGGACAGTAGATTGTTGGAGAACGTTCCCCTTGAGACTGGCACCTGAAGTGGGAGGGTGTCTTTCAAGGGTTGTATGCTGGCCTAGGTTGCTGGTGGGTCATATTCAGGGGCCTGAGGAAAAGGAGAACTTCCCTGAAGTTTGATCAGGTCAGGTTAGTGGACATTTTCTGATTGATTAATGGGGACAAACAGGTCAGCTAATCTTTGGTGGGGCAGAGAATGTGGATTTAATGGGTCTCTGTCTGGCTTTGTCATCGGTGGACGGTGGGTCATCCACAAGTCCTACCTAAATCACCTGGGGAGGAGTAGTTCATTGCAATGAGCCATTCCTAGAAATGGAAAAGGGCCTGAGCTTGTCCTCATCATCACTCTTAGTCAGGAGCACAGGGTTGGGTTAAATTCAGCATCCTCCCGGCGCTCAGCACTTAGCTGATGCACCTTAATTTTCCTAATAACCCTTCAGTGTGAGGTCTCTCATAAGCCATGACTTGACTTCCTGAGGACCAGGAAGGCTGAGGAACTGCCTTGGTCACACTGCTGGTAAGAGGGCACCCCACTGCTTCCGAAGGCTCTGGCCCGGGAGCTCCAGCGGGATGGTCCTAGTACTCAGAACAAATGAGACAGCCATGCCGCCTGATTTGTATATTGTTCATGTTGTCTGAAGAATCCAAAACATATATTCAGCTAGTGTCACTAAGACCTTTTGCTGCAAGTATGAACCTGGGCTAGCTTAAGTTTTGGCTTGTTTTTCCAAGTATGAAGGGTACCTAGTAGAATCTATAGAGAAATGGAACTTGTAATCTGCAAGAAGGACAGCAACAGGGACTTAAAGCCGAAAAAAGAGAGAGGAGCCAGAGTCAGTGACTGCTCTCCCTAGCGGTGTTTCTCAGTAGGGACAAAACTGACATTGTACACAGGACACACCTTCCTTGTGAAGGGCAGTTCCATCCTTCTCTGGTGTGTGATATCCTTGGCCTTTGCCCACTAAATGCCAGTACTGGCCTATATCATCGTGACAACAAAACAGAAGTGCTAAGTATTTCCAGATTCCCTAGGGAGGTGATGCACTCAGGGGTTGAGAACCAGACCACCGAGTAGCCGGGTGCATTGCCATTGTTGTGACTCAGCAATAAGGACATGATTGTCTGCACTTTTCGGTTCTAAACCTCAGACTCTCCTGACTGCCAGTCAGAGGCCAACTCCGTGACTCGCCTGGGTGGCCTGGGCACAGTGCTGCCGTTTCAGTGTGCTGGCTTCCTTGGTAGCTTTGCAGATGGAGGGGGGTCAGTTTCCGGTAATCAGTGGGTATTGTTCATATAAATTTATGTATGTCCATAATAGTTGAATTCATCAATTTATTACTAATTTGGCATGGAGTGTGCACAGTCTGTTGGTTGCTCTGTTAGGTGATTTTTTATACCTTTCTCTGTTTAATTCATATTTACTGATTCATCAATCAGTAGGCTGTCCAGTCCTTGTGTTGTAGATGAAGTCTGGGACTCATGACTGTGACTTGACCTGGGACATGTAACTCCTGCACACTATGTGCCTGGACAGAGAAGGGAGTGAAAATGTTTCTGACTATCAAAATGCTCATTTATGTCCTTTTTTGAATGAAAGGTTAATAGAAATTCAATGCAGAAAGAAAACTCCTAAAGGCATATAAAATTATAAAAATGTTTTTCCTTCTTCTGTAGAGTTCTGCAAGTGACCTTGAATAAGTCATATCATTCTGTGGATGTCAGTTTCCTCATCAGTATAAAATTAGATGTTTGCACTGGATGATTTCTAAGGTGTCTTGGTTTTTTTAGTGGGGAAATATTTAGCTATTAACGGTGTGATGTAAGTATGGCTTCTCAACCACAAATTTTGTCTCATGCCATCTTTGAAACCTGCCAGAATGAATATAAAAAGAAAAAAGGCACAAATCCTCAGAGACAAGAATGGAAGGCTGAGGCAATAACAGGCCGGTGATGGGAGTGAAGTTGTGGTGGCTGCAAAATAAATGGACACATGGTAATGACTTAGACAACAAGAGAAAGCAGAATTTGGGCTTACAGGCCGAGAGGAAGTGTCCCAGAAACAGGCTTGTTAGTACAGAAATAGCTTGAGAAGACTCAGGAATACTGGATGCCAGTTATTGAGAAGGTGGACTGATGGGCAGGACTGAAGAAGGGATGACTAGGTTCTAAGTTTGGGTGAGAAGTGTTGAGACCACTGGATGCTCTTCCTCGCTGATAAAACTGGGTATCTGCCGTTTTAACTGCAGTAGGCTAGAGACTGCCCAAAGGGGTTGAATAAAGAAGGCTTGGGCTCTAAGACCCAGAGAGATATGACTGAGGGCTAGAGATGCCACACTGAAAATGAGGAAATTATTTTCCTTAAATAAAGGTGTGTATACCTACTAGTGGGAATCCCAGCATTCCAGCAGCCAAGCTGATACCTCCTTCTGGGAGATTGGGGAATTCCTATTCAGGGTAATGCTTACCTAGGCCAGGAGAAGAGAAACACAGATACTGATATTTGAGTGACTCTTGATGAAAATACTGGCCTCCTATCTTAAAGTGAATTGTTAAGTCCAGTTGTCAAATTCTGTGGATGAAAGCAGGACTTCAGCTACTGTTTTGGAGACTCAACCTTAAATTTTAAGAACAGGCAGCGGAGGATTACTAGTCCCTTGAGGAAAGCCCGTAATGTAGAAAGAGACCAATTCATAAAATGTGAATCTGTTGGAGGAAGCAGATACTATAAGCTCCAAGTGGGGGTGGGGGTGGGGAGCACTGCCATTAATATCTTCAGAAATATGAGACTTTATATCACTTCCATAAAACGTTTTTAAAATGTTGTAAAAAAAGAACAAATAAAAGAAAATACTATTAGTAGTTAAACATTTGATAGCAGAAATGGAAAAATCAATAGATATGTAGGAAATGTACTCCGATCCCCCAGAAAGTAAAACAAAGAGAGAAGGTGAGAGGAAAAGAAGAAAAATAAGAGAGAAATTTAGAATTCCAGCTCAGGAGATCCGAATAGCCAACTAATAGAATTTTCAGAAAGATGAAGCAGAGTAAATGGGGAACCAAGAATAAGGTAGAGATGAGTAGGTGGAGACACTGATTTTTTTTTTCCCCTATGTTGTATTATTTGATATTTTTAACTTAATATGTAACATTTCTATATTTTTAAAAAGTGATCGACTTTAAATTTAAAAAGCAAAAAATACTTATGTGTGAAGGTTAAAAATACTGTAGATATTTGAGTTTTCTTTGAAGACCAGTAAAATTAAAAGTAGGCCAAGAAAAAAATACCATTTGACTTTTTAAAAGTACATATTTTAAGAAAATTATTTCAATTACTATAGGGAAATTGAGGAACAATTTTCTCTTAAAAACGGCAATAGCACAGCAATGGCACAGTTCATGGAGGAGAACTGATACCAAAGCAGCAGCTGCATGAGTTTGTTTGTAATCAGGAATCTTGCCAAAGAGAACAGTTTCCCTCCTGGTCAATAGGGCTAACTTTCCTTCTGGGAACAAGAAGTATTCTTGACTTACCTTAATCATGGTAAGGCATAAAAGTTGTATGAAATTCCTGATTATAATCCTTTCTTCAAGATATATTTATTATCGGTTCTGTGTTAGGCATTGTTCTGATTCATTTATATGGACACCTTTAATATTCCTAACAGCCTTATGGGGCTATGTTCTGTTGTCTTTCACCGTTCTCATTTTATAGACGAGGAACCCAATGTACAGAGAGGTTAAGTAACCCAGTTAAGTAGCTGGGTTACTCAGCTGGTAAATGGGAAAGCTGGGTTTTCAAACTATGGCAGTGTAGCCTCAGAGCCAATACTGTTAATGAATTCACTTCTGCTCTGCTTATTAAATAAAGAACCCTAAGAATCAAGACTAAATAATTTTTCATCATTTTCGTAGCTAGTTATTTTAGAAGGGATAGATGGATTCTGTCCTGAAGATTTGTGAGCCACTGAATGCTCGAGAACTTGCGTAGGCCTAAGCACACTCCCTGGTTGACTAACCAATCTCAAGTGCTGACTAGGTGGAAGGACCCAGACAGACCTTCCACAGTGACCAGCCCAGAGCACCTTACATCTTCCCCACCCACAGCTGAAGTCAAATGTGTGTTAAAATTGTCAGGATAGCAACCTAGGGTTTCTGGGAATTGGCTTAATTTATAATTTGTTAAATCTAGCCATCATTCAAATGATTGGTTTTTACTTTACAACTTTTAGCCCCATTATATGTGCTTTATGGAAAACTGTACAGTGCGAGGCATATCATAGGAACTTATTTATTTGGCATTAATTAGTGATGTATAGCATATTGTAGTGTTTACTGACATTCAAGATTAATAAATTATTTTCAGATATGAATGTTACAAATTTGGTTTGTTTGTTTTTTCCCTAGTTCAACTTTGTGGGGAAACTTCTGGGTCCCCGTGGAAATTCTCTGAAGCGTTTACAAGAAGAAACGTTGACAAAAATGTCCATCCTTGGGAAAGGTTCCATGCGAGACAAGGCAAAGGTAACATTCATCATAGACAAATGGCTACTTTGGAGACAAGTTACCTAATGCACTATTAGGTTATTCATTGCATTAATACAAATTATATTAGAGCTAGCTAAGATTGCAAAGGAAATCATGTGAAAATGTTGTATACAGTGATGGAGTTTCTGATACTGTGTAGAAAACTGAGTCACTCGGGCCAGTTTCAGAATGTATGATGCCCTGCATGTACATCTGTAACTCTTACCTTCGTTTGTAAAATGCAGTAGCAGTGCCTGCGGTTTTGACCATATAAGCAATACCTCGTAGAAAGTACAGCGATACGGAAATTATCACAAAGAGAAATCAAAGTTAACTGCAGTCTTAGTGCCACTGTTTGCATCTTCAATGAGTTCCTGCTGGCTTTTTTTCTATGCCTGTATTTCACATAGTTGCGTTTATAAAGAATATGCTTGGATTTGCTCTTTTTGCCTTCCGTTTGATACCCTATACATTTTATCAAGTTAAAATTGATTTTAAATGTTTTAATAGTAGCTTTGTATTCTCACACACAGTAGCTCTAGTTGGTTCTATTTCTGCTAACTGCCTCTTTTTTTTTTTTTTAGTAACCTAAAATTACTGAGTTATTTTTATTGATCACTTTTTTAAATACACCACTACTGAAAGACATTTTCACATTTCATAATGTGCTATCATTTACATTGTTCTCTGTTATAATTTTGTTGCTCTGTCGCTGTGAAAGATTGAGGTTACTGAAAACCGAACCCACATACAGTGGTCACTTCCCATGAAATGTTGAACAATGATTGTGTCAGGCAAGAAAGTTATTTAGACAAAATCTAGCCTCCTGGCATGCACAAAAAAATCCATTTAGACAAAGGCTTTTATAATAAAAAATGGCTGCCATTTGTTTGTTGGATGGCTGCTGTGAGTGTGTTACTCTGTGTTATCCCTAGAAAAATTATGGAAGATGTATAACATTGTCCTTATTTTACATGTAAAAAAACTTAGATTTAGAGAACCTGACTATATATTTTTTAAATTTTTAAATTTTTTATTTTTATCCTTTTTTTTAAATTTTATTTTGGGTTTTCCACATATAGTATCATATCATCTGTGAAGAGTGATAGTTTGACGACTTCTTTGCCGATTTGGATGCCTTTAATTTCCTTTTGTTGTCTGATTGCTGATGCTAGGACTTCTAGTACTATGTTGAATAGCAGTGGTGATAACGGACATCCCTGCCGTGTTCCTGACCTTAGTGGAAAGGCTTTCAGTTTTTCTCCATTGAGAATGATATTTGCAGTGGGTTTTTCATAGATGGCTTTGATAATATTGAGGTATGTGCCCTCTATCCCTACACTTTGAAGAGTTTTGATCAGGAAGGGATGCTGTACTTTGTCAAATGCTTTTTCAGCATCTATTGAGAGTATCATATGGTCCTTGTTCTTTCTTTTATTGATGTGTTGTATAACATTGATTGATTTGCGGATGTTGAACCAACCTTGCAGCCCTGGAATAAATCCCACTTGGTCGTGGTGAATAATCCTTTTAATGTACTGTTGAATCCTATTGGCTAGTATTTTGGTGAGAATTTTCGCATCTGTGTTCATCAAGGATATTGGTCTGTAGTTCTCTTTTTTGATGGGATCCTTGTCTGGTTTTGGGATCAAGGTGATGCTGGCCTCATAAAATGAGTTGGGAAGTTTTCCTTCCATTTCTACTTTTTGGAACAGTTTGAGGAGAATAGGAATTAGTTCTTCTTTAAATGTTTGGTAGAATTCCCCCGGGAAGCCATCTGGCCCTGGGCTTTTGTTTGTTTGGAGATTTTTGATGACTGTTTCAATCTCCTTACTGGTTATGGGTTTGTTCAGGCTTTCTATTTCTTTCTGGTTGAGTTGTGGTAGTTTATATGTCTCTAGGAATGCATCCATTTCTTCCAGATTGTCAAATTTGTTGGTGTTGAGTTGCTCATAGTATGTTCTTATAATTGTTTGTATTTCTTTGGTGTTAGTTGTGATCTCTCTTCTTTCATTCATGATTTTATTTATTTGGGTCCTTTCTCTTTTCGTTTTGATAAGTCTGGCCAGGGGTTTATCAATCTTATTAATTCTTTCAAAGAACCAGCTCCTAGTTTCGTTGATTTGTTCTACTGTTTTTTTGGTTTCTATTTCATTGATTTCTGTACTGATCTTTATGATTTCTCTTCTCCTGCTGGGTTTAGGGTTTCTTTCTTGTTCTTTCTCCAGCTCCTTTAGGTGTAGAGTTAGGTTGTGTACCTGAGACCTTTCTTATTTCTTGAGAAAGGCTTGTCCCGCTATATATTTTCCTCTCAGGACTGCCTTTGTTGTGTCCCACAGATTTTGAACCATTGTATTTTCATTATCATTTGTTTCCATGAATTTTTTCAATTCTTCTTTAATTTCCTGGTTGACCCATTCATTCTTTAGAAGGATGCTGTTTAGTCTCCATGTATTTGGGTTCTTTCCAAATTTCCTCTTGTGAATGAGTTCTAGCTTCAGAGCATTGTGGTCTGAAAATATGCAGGGAATGATCCCAATCTTTTGATACCGGTTGAGACCTGATTTAGGACCCAGGATGTGATCTATTCTGGAGAATGTTCCATGTGCACTAGAGAAGAATGTGTATTCTGTTGCTTTGGGATGAAATGTTCTGAATATATCTGTGATGTCCATCTGGTCCAATGTGTCATTTAAGGCCTTTATTTCCTTGTTGATCTTTTGCTTGGATGATCTGTCCATTTCAGTGAGGGGAGTATTAAAGTCCCCTACTATTATTGTATTATTGTTGATGTGTTTCTTTGATTTTGTTATTAATTGGTTTATATAGTTGGCCCCTCCCACGTTAGGGGCATAGATATTTACAATTGTTAGATCTTCTTGTTGGACAGATCCTTTGAGTATGATATAGTGTCCTTCCTCATCTCTTATTATAGTCTTTGTCTTAAAATCTAATTGATCTGATATAAGGATTGCCACTCCTGCTTTCTTCTGATGTCCAATAGCATGGTAAATTGTTTTCCACCCCCTCACTTTAAATCTGGAGGTGTCTACGGGTTTAAAATGAGTTTCTTGTAGGCAACATATAGATGGGTTTTGTTTTTTTATCCATTCTGATACCCTGTGTCTTTTGATTGGGGCATTTAGCCCATTAACATTCAGGGTAACTATTGAGAGATATGAATTTAGTGCCATTGTATTGCCTGTAAGGTGACTGTTACTGTATATTGTCTCTTTTCCTTTCTGATCCACTACTTTTAGGGTCTCTCTTTGCTTAGAGGACCCCTTTCAATATTTCCTGTAGAGCTGGTTTGGTGTTTGCAAATTCTTTCAGTTTTTGTTTGTCCTGGAAGCTTTTAATCTCTCCTTCTATTTTCAATGATAGCCTAGCTGGATATAGTATTCTTGGCTGCATGTTTTTCTCATTTAGTGCTCTGAGTATATCATGCCAGCTCTTTCTGGCCTGCCAGGTCTCTGTGGATAAGTCTACTGCCAATCTAATATTTTTACCATTGTATGTTACAGACTTCTTCTCCCGGGCTGCTTTCAGGATTTTCTCTTTGTCACTAAGACGTATAAATTTTACTATTAGGTGACGGGGTGTGGACCTATTCTTATTGATTTTGAGGGGGGTTCTCTGAACCTCCTGGATTTTGATGCTTGTTCCCTTTGCCATATTGGGGAAATTCTCTCCAATAATTCTCTCCAATATACCTTCTGCTCCCCTCTCTCTTCTTCTTCTGGAATCCCAATTATTCTAATGTTGTTTCGTCTTAAGGTGTCACTTATCTCTTGAATTCTCCCCTCGTGGTCCAGTAGCTGTTTGTTCCTCTTTTGCTCAGCTTCTTTATTCTCTGTCATTTGGTCTTCTATATCGCTAATTCTTTCTTCTGCCTCATTTATCCTAGCAGTGAGAGCCTCCATTTTTGATTGCACCTCATTAATAGCTTTTTTGATTTCAGCTTGGTTAGATTTTAGTTCTTTTATTTCTCCAGAAAGGGCTTTTATCTCTCCCGAGAGGGTTTCTCTAATATCTCCCATGCCTTTTTCGAGCCCGGCTAGAACGTTGAGAATCGTCATTCTGAACTCTAGATCTGACATATTACCAATGTCTGTATTGATTAGGTCCCTAGCCTTTGGTACTGCCTCTTGTTCTTTTTTTTGTGGTGGATTTTTCCCCCTTGTTATTTTGTCCGGATAAGAATATATGAAGGAGCAAGTAAAATACTAAAAGGGTGGCAACAACCCCAGGAAAATATGCTTTAGCCAAATCAGAAGAGATCCCAAATCGTAAGGGGGGGGG